TTATATGTAAACCCAAATCCCATTGATAAACTGCAACAGAAACACCCCGAGATAGTTGACGGTTGTGTGAGGTAACACAAGGAGCTCCTCCAGCTCACTGCACATCTACAAAAAGGGACGTTGTTTAAAAGCTTTGCTTCTCTTTGATTTCCGTTGAAATTTGAAGCAGGCTTTAAAACTTGGGAACTGGCTTCAGCAACATTAGGTGATAATATTTAATCAGGAAATATTAATTTAATAAAAGTCAATCCTAAAAATCCGTGCGATGTGCTCACATTTTCCTATTCAGAAAAAAAATCACAACACAATGAAAGACAGGCAGGAACAAGGGCATCTGTCTGTCTTGATCCCGACTTCTATTCCCGCAGCCCCGACGAGGCCTCACACCTTTGGCGCATAGTAGAAAACTGGTGGTCCACAGCACAGCCTTTCTGCTACCCTCAGTCAGCTTTGCCCTGGGGTTGGAATGTCCGTCCAGGGTCATCTTTAACCCTGCCGCTGCAGCTCTACAGGATCCTTAGGTAGCATGTTCAATCATGCAATATTCCGTTTTTAATTAATCCTAGGTTTTTCATTTATCTTGCAGCCCAACTGCAGTTTCCTCTCCCTCCTCTCCTCCTCTCCCTTTCACCCCATGGGTGTCAACAAAGCATGTCAAGTTGAGGTAGGACCAAGCTCCTCCCTTTGTATTAGGGTTGGGCAAGGCAAACCAGTATGAGCCATGCATACAATATTCTTTTTAGGACAATAAAATTAGAGACCAAACCCACAGAGACAGCTGACCTGAGCTCTTGGGAGCTCATGGACTCTGGATCAACAGTTGGAGAGCCTGTGTGGGACCAACCTAGGCCCTCTGTGTGTGAAGGACAGTTGTGTATCTTGGTCTGTTTGTAAGGCTCCTAGCCGTGAGATCAGGACCGGTCCCGGTCCCTGGAGCCCAGCTGGCTTTTGGGAACTTGTTCCCCATCTTGATTACCTGGCATGCCCTTGTCGCAAGGGGAGGAGCATGGTCCTTCCTCAACTTGATGGGCCCTGCTTTGTTCCAGCCCATGGGAGGCCTGACCCTTTCTGGATGAGGATGGAGGGGGAGTAGAAGGGAAGGGGGTAGATGGTAGTCAGGGGGGAGGGGGCAGGAGGAGAGGAGGGAGGGGAAATTGTGGTCAGTAGGTAAAGAAATGATTAAAAGAATGTTAGTTGAATAAAATTAAATTTAAAAAACTAAGAGATCAGATTTCAAGCCCCATGCTTGACGAATGACTTGTGATTTTACTATTCTGTCTGGACAATGCTTCTGGTGTTTTACAGAGCTTTCAGAAAAGCTCAAACTCTTGTTACAACATAAAGGGACATAGTTTTGGTCACCAGTGTCCTAGCTAAGCTTCTAGTACCACTCACCCCAATTCTTCAACAATCTTTGCTAGCTGAATAATTTATCAGACTCCCAAGTGTTACTGATTTTCATCTTGGCCCAGCCCTTGCACCCTGTCCCTGAACTGAGGAGTGGGGTAGGGTGCGTGATGGAACTGTGAAAGTAAAATCCACACCAGACACATCCCATTCCTGGTGATGCTGTGAGATACCCATTCCCAGGGACACTAACTAAGCAGCCTCTGCAAGAAACGGTCAAGGAGGTTCTGCTGAGAAGCAGCTGCAGCAACTCCTTCCGAGTTTCCACAGGATTCTTTCACAGAAACCACCGGAATTAATTAGACTTCAACCTGTCACACACAAGGAATCATGATTTTTTTTTTTAACTTTTTATTGAGTTTTTTGTAGATTTCACGCCATGCAAATCATTTCAAATCATCAGTTCAGAAACTGATTTTCTGCCCTGAGTCAAAGAAGCTCGGAATCGCCCAGAAAGTGAGAGAGAAGAAAACGGGAAGAAAAAAAAAAAAAAAAAAAAGAAAAGAAGTCAAGCAACAACAATTTAAAAATAAACAAACAGCGAGCATTATTAACAGACATTGCTCACTGAATTAAAAAGTGACCCGGGGGGGGGGGCGGGGGTTGGAAGCACAGAGATTTTCTAGTTGCATGGACGAAAGGTGAAATGCAGGCTTGTGTACTCTTTGCCAAGTTCAACCACATACAGGCTCAATGCTGGCTCTGATCATGACTGTAACAATATTTCAACACTCTAAAGTTCATCTTTACTTTCTTTACTAGAGCCCAAGTCTGAGCTCACTGAAACCTCAGAGCAGCCTGGGGGGGTGGGGTGGGGGCAGACGGATGTGAATGAGAAGATAATGTCCTTTCACTTGTGAAAGAGCTTAAAGACTGTTGGAGTTGGCAATAATGGCTTATAGAAATTGTGTGTAATGTTGCATTAACTTGTAATTGTCATCATTATTGAACTCGCAGCCAAACGCTCAGGGTGCGCTCTATGGGCGCGGTAACCGCATGAAGGGCACCACCTCTAGGAGCATGCCCGGTAACTTCAACGCTCGGGCACAGGGAGAAGTGGACTATGCCACCTAGAACCATTCGGCTTAGAAATGAGGAGGAGTGGCTGAACATAACTTTTGAAACTAAGTCTTAGAAAAAAATATAGGAGACTTTTCAAGACTGAAAACAAGCAAACAAGAAATATAAGAGAAACCCATCAAGAGTATTAACTGAAAATTTCCCTTTATTGCTGAACCCTGACTTAAAAACACCCGAAAGTTTTTTGTTTAAGAAGCTCATTTCCTCATCCTGGACAGTAAGGATCAGACTGACATTTCTGGTGCTGGCAAGCCGTTAGCATTAAGAGACAGGGAGATGAGTGGGATCTGACCATATCTGCAGTGTGTTTTTGGGTTTGCTGGTCCCTGCCTCTCCCTCTGTTTGCTCTGCTCCTGAAAATATGATTAATACCCATGCATTAGCACAACTCTGCATTGTAAGCAGGGCCAGAGCTCCTTCCCAGCCAGGCGGTGGAACGGAGTTAATGAGAAGTGAGGCTGTGGGGGGATGAGCAGGAAGGAGGAGCAGCTGAGCATGAATACCAAACACTGGCACAGGGGAATGGTCTTCATTCGCAGGAGGAAGGTCTCATAAGCTGCGGGGCAGAGGGGACTCACACAAACCTGTGGTCCGGCCAAGCCCAGGATTTGCATTCGCTACGGTGTTGGTTCTCTCTCTCTCTCTCTCTCTCTTAGACTCTTTCTCTCTCAGTCTCTCTTTCTCTCTCTCTTTCTGAGACAGGGTTTCTCTGTGGCTTTGGAGCCTGTCCTGGAACTAGCTCTTATAGGCCAGGCTGGCCTCGAACTCACAGAGATCCGCCTGCCTCTGCTTCCTGAGAGCTGGGACTAAAGACGTGTGCCACTGACACCTGGCTTACTTGGGCCATTTCTAATGTCCTTTCTCTGTCTTCCCCTTTCCTTGTCTTCCTTGTTGCCTTTCTTTCCCAATCATTCATTATATGTGAGAATTTTGTACATGAGTAGTGTTTTTACATAATTTTCCTCCCTACTCTCTCCCCCACTTTAGCTCTGTCTTTCCCTATTCCATCACTCTTTAAAGATGTATACACACACACCACACATACATACACATACACCACACACACCATACACACACACACACCACACACACACTCACCACACATACAACACACACACATCACACACACCACACATATACACACACCACACACACCACACACACACACACACACTACACACACACACACCACACACATCACACACATCACACAAATCACACACACACACCACACACACATACACCACACATACAAACATACACACACACACCACACACACACCACACACATCACACACCACACACACACTACACACACATCACACACACACACCACATACACACTACACATCACACACACACCACACACATCACACACCACACACACACACCACACATACAAACACACACACATACCACACACATCACACACATATCACACACAGTGGGCGGGGGGGGGAGAGGCTACTATCAGCGGCCTTGTCCCAAGAGAAGAGTGATTCCACTCTTAACATTTCTTTTTGAGATTTTATTTATTTTTAATTTAATGTATGTTTCTGTGAGGGCGCCCTGGGACTGGAGTCACGGATTGCTGTGAGCTGCCATGTGAGTGCTGGGCATTAAACCAGTTCCTCTGGAAGGACAGACAGTGCTTTTAACTACTGAACCATTTTGCCAATACTTGCCTGTAGCTACTCATCTCTCCCCCAGCCTTAAAAGGAATTTACTTTTTGACCACAGCAAGAAAATATGTGTGATTTGACTACACTTATTTAGAATAATATATATTGAATTCTAAAATTCCGTGCTGAATTCTAAAACCTGTGGAACATTTAATCAGTGACTACTATAACTCACTACTGTGTCATCCCTTTGCCCCATTTAGACCTTTTTTTGTGGTTTGTAAGTGTCAAGGATCTGAGGGAAATTTGCACAATAGTAAAGTAGAATGGCTATTACTCATCTCATAGTAGTTTTATTGAGAACAAAAAAAAAAAAAAAAAAAAAAACCCAAAATATTGTAGAAAAAAACTTTGATTCTGACATTCTGGGAGTATATAATTATGCATATTTATAAAAACTCATTCCTAATGACGTTGAGAAAAAATAGACACAGTTTAAGTGCATTAAATGGGAATTGGTTAAGTAAAATATTAATATAACCCATTTGTTAAATAAGATTACAATATCTGTGGAAACATATAATAATCAATGAGGGCATAAACATAAGTTAGTAAACATGTCTTGGTATAGTATAACTGTACTGAATACATATAAAACATGAATGCTTAAGGTATTGATTAATGCATGTCTGATGGTGATAGGATTTCTAATACTATGTTTCTATTTGTCATTTCCTTAAGTTTCTATTTTAAAATATATTAACATTTCTACCGCAAAGAGTATGAAGATAAGAAAAACATGAGTCTCTCAATCCACACCCACCATCCAAGACCGTGGGACAGAGCAATAGCACTGGCAAGAGCTTCAGTATAAAAGCGGGTGCACTTTACCTTCTCGGTGTAGTACTCTCTGACTTCAGGCCTGATGGAATCAAAGTCCCCACTGATGAATTCAGGCAAAAAGCTGAAAGAGACAGTTCCATGTAAGTTAACCAGACCGATCCATTCACTTATGAACTTTAAAACTACAGTTGTAGGGGCTGGAGTAAAGAACTCAGACACTCGAAACAGGAAACCCAGACTGTGTTCGGAGTAAACGGGAAGTCCTATCACACGCTGTTGATTCCGGCACAGTGGAGACCAGCAGCTCATAGCTAGAAGCTCAGCCCAAACCAGCAGCATTGGTTGTTTCAAACAAATGGATACTGATGAAGACAACTGGTCAAAAAATAAAAAATAAAAAAAGAACTCAATCATAAAGTTTTAATTACAAACACTCTTCCCCTCTTAACCCTCACACAGCTTAGAGCTTTCAATGAATCTGAGCAGAGTGAACACGTGACCAAGTCGGTTCGAACACATTTTTCAAACACTTAAGGACATATTTCTAAAAATAAGCGTCTTCTGGGGGTGGCTTAAAATAATCCTATGAAGATCAGGGTTTGCTTGCTTGCTTTGTTTTTTCAGGTAGATAGCTCAGCAAATAAAAGTGCTTGTCGCCATGACTAAGGACCCGCTTTCCATCTCCAGGACATAAGTGGTGGGAGAGGGGAGATCATCCATGGCATGTCTGCCCTTCTCCGAATCATTCAATTACTCAATCGACGCACTTTATAAAAGAACCTCGGGTTTTACACACGAAGAGCCTCTCAAATGTGCAATTTCTCGTGATACTGGAAATACTTTAATATATTTCCCTGTTATTTTTTTCCAAGTCATTTAAAAAAAAATCCATTTAACTCTAATCTTCATTAAGTCATCATTAAGTATTTCCATGACTTGGAAGAATTCATCTGCCCCACTTAACACCCCTAACTATGGAGGGAAAAATGACCCCGGATTTCTGAGTGCTCTAGCAGAGAATGAAATGAGTCTCCCACAGCTGATGGATGCATAGCAAAGGAAATGCATATTTTCAGTTAATTAGTTATCTGATTTAAGGAAGTAACAACCGTTTTTTGCAACACTGGCTTACCTCTGTAGGTGTTGCATGTGCAAAGGGAAGGGGCCCCTGAACTGGGAGATCAGTCTAGGTCATAGTAGCAAAGACCTCAGTGGTCTTCTCCTGGCTCTGGAGAGATTCTACTCAGAAACCAAAGGGTTAGGGGCAGGTCCGCATAATTTCCAAGGAGACCTTTCCCAGAGGCAAGGGCCACAGCTGCCATATTTTACTTTATGTGCAGAGAAATAAAGCCATATTTTCTTTTCTTTACCCACGGTGTGCCAAATACCAGCAGTAGGTAATTGACACAGTAGGCAATTGGCCTGGCTTTCATCGGCTGAGGTTGAAAAGTAGAGCAATCATGTAATTAGAAACACAACTCAGAACACCTTATATGTGCATTCAAGATAAAATTAGTAAAGATGGAATGATAAAATAAGCTAACCTTGTCTTTTACTATTTTGTAGCTCTTAATTCAACTAGAAACATTATTTCTTAGGTCAAGCTTAAATCTGACTGAGATGGTTTGGGCCAATTTACCATTAAGTTATGCAGCTTTTCCTGACTACATGGTAAGAGAAAGATGTAAGACAAAGTGATCCCCGTAGTAAAGTGCATGGTGGGACATGCCTGGATCTCAGTACTGGGAGATTGAGGTAGGAAAACTTGGAGAACAATGGGTTAAAGAAGGAGACATTATCACAAAACCAACAGCTGGGGCAGTGGCTCAATGGTAGGATACTTGTTCCACATGCAGAAGGCTCTGAGTTCAATTCTCAGCATCAATCAATAAATCAAACACAATTACCTGTACCCCATACATAATGTGGGTGACCGAGAATCAATTAATTGCTGTTATTTACTCATCCATGAATGATTTGCTGAACCACAGGGCACAGCAGCCTAGCTTGCTTTAAGACGAGAAAGAATTAGAAAGGAAACAGACTTGTGTTTTACGTGGTTCCAAAGGTCTTGCTATAATCTTTTTTTTCTTGAAACTTCCTTGGTCATTGTATCTATTATTTCATTTCTTCTTGTTTTCTGGTTAAATAAACCCACACACTTTCAAAGTTTCTTTCAAAACCTTGCACTATTTCATCATATGTAAATTAGTACCTTTTTTTTTTTTTTTTTAGACTGCACAGTATTAGATCTGGAGAGGGTAAAAGGAATCATTTCTCTAATTCCCCACTGTCTCTGCAGAGCTAAGATGAACCAAGGGGATGTACCACCAATGCCCAACCCACTTCTTCAGCAGAGGGCTCCCATCTGTACCATCTGGTTCAAGCAAACTCCCTAATGAGACTCGCTTTGTATCATTCTCCAAACTGTAGTCCTTTAGATATCTGGAAACAAACTGACAGGGTCTGGAGAGCATATTGATTTTGATAATGAATATAAATGAAAAATAAAGGTTGATACACCCAGGCAGATGAGCATCTGTTCCATAGGATAGATCACCTTTAAAAGAGAATTAGATTTCCTTTTATCTAACACAGAGAATAATGTAAGAAAGTAGTCGTTTAAATTAATTTATATTTTATACAAAATATTAATAGGAGAAAAATTATATAGATAAATGATAACTGACTTTAGTTACCTTTTAATATCTTTTTTTCTCCATGTAACATACATGGCACATTCTTATTAAATCAATATGGTAAGTCATAAGAAGACACATGCCAAAAATAACCTGACACTCATGCTAAGATTATTATAAGTTTCAAGCATAAAATGAAATGTATGGAACTTCAGAACTGTACTTTTTATGTTGCAATTAAAAGCCCGTTGCACACGTTATGCAGAGCCTGTTACCATGGCACCTGGGCATTCTGAAGGCATTCCTAGGATGACACTTCACAGATGTAGAGGAGTTATGTTGTGATATAAATGACAGTTTACACAAGAAGATTATTTTTAGGCTGAATACACTTAGCTGCTGACTGCAGGGACAGAGACTTGCATAGCCCCTGACCCCATCTGTCTACAAATGGATCCAAACAACTGCTTGTTATTTTCAGCCCAAAGCAGGTGACTTAGTATTAAAAGATGTCCAAAATTTCTCACCCAACCAAACTACAACTCACTGTACATCATTTATCAGTGACAAAGAGTCCAAAAGGGGCTAATGGCCCGGCACAGGTAATCACCCAGGAAGCGGGTATTTGTAGCAAACATAAAATATGAGGAAATGCAACCTTTCGAAACCCCTTTTCCTGGTGACTATGTAAGGGCTTTTCTTCTAGAAAGTCCTCCCTGCTTTCTGCCTCCAAGGAAGATGTTACTACTCCTTTAAAACTCCAATAGCACGAATGCTCTCACAGGTAACAGTCCTCTATGGGTCTTTTAGCTTCTGTTAGAGGACAAGTCTTTGGAGCAGGCGTGAATAACTGACCTAGATGCTGACAGAGGAGAGGAAAACAGCCCAGCCGGGGAGGAGGACAGAAGCAAGAAAAAGACAGACAGACAGACAGAAAAGAGGGATTAGGAGAGAGTAAGAAAAGCAAGACACAGAGCCCATTCTTCAGCCTCTGAAATGGGAATCTGCTCACTGTTCATAACCTGGGTGGACATGTGTTCTGCAGTGTAGCCTAATTCCCCTGGCAACAGGACACTTAAGTACGCCACCACAGGGCCCTACGGGCATGGTTCAGGTGCCTACAAACCTGGTATCTGAGGTCGGGCTCTAAATGCTCATGGCCTATCAAATCAGGGGAATTACCTTTTACTTTTGGGGTTCAGTCTCTACTTTTCCTACAGATTGGGGAGGACAAGTTATTGGCAAAGGAGATGATCCACCACCTTCTGTAACTGCTTCTGGGCAGAGCAGGAGACATCAGGGGGGCCTTACTTTGTTTTGTTGGCTGCTGCGTGGTCCAAGGCATACAGGAAGGAGAGGCAGGTTCCTTTGCAGAGAGAAAGGAGTCTCCTTCTCCCCGAGGCTGAAGGCTAGACTGGCCTTTGGAGACACAGATCTTCAGTGCTGGGTACAGGTGTAGATGGAAACACAAGTTGCCATCTACTGTGGGGCTTAATGACCTGGAATCTGTGCTCTGCTGTTCGTCAGTGGCTTCCTCTTGGGCAGGTGTGGCAGGACTCCTCTCCCTCAGACAGGCTATCGGATCGGGTATCACTGGGTTTCCCTTCCAGATGGGGAGCTACACTGTCATGAGAGCTGGGATCGTCTACATCCACTTTCTCAGAGCAAGGCTTATAGACATATTTCCAGCCTGGCATCTTACATGGACAGTGGGGATAAAACTCAGGTTCTCATACTTGCAAAGCAAGCACCTTCCCAACAGAGACATGCCTCTAACCCCTCTAGCTTGCATTTTACTTGTAAATTATATTTAATAGCAAACATACAAGAACTTTTAAATATTTTATAGTGTGGGCACAACATAAACTTTGAAGAGAAGATGCTTCCCTCCATAGTTGTTTTTTTTTTTTTTTTTTCTTTTGAAACAGGGTATCTACCCATAGCCTGAGCCGACCCTGAACTCAGTTTCCCATCTCAGACTCCTCGCCGCTGGAACTACATCTGACACCCAGTGAAAGCCATTCAACTTAGGAGAGCTTTGTGATGGAAATACAGTATAATTAAAAACATGAGTCAGCACACATAATGTTGTAAAAAAGAGATCAATTGCCCTTTGAAATGATGTTTAACACTGACTTTCTAATCATGTGCTTAAAAGAAAAATTTAATGTTCAGTGCGATGTCTGATAAGACACGCCTACCCCAAGTCCTGTGTCAGAAGTGGCTTCTCTGCCTTTTCCCAGGGCTGCCAGGTGATTGCTAAATGGGGCGTGTGAGGTGTTGCTGCTGACCATGACACGGGAGAATGGGTTTTCGAGGCCTAAAGGAAAAAGCCGCATCTGCCTAGGATGCTTGCAGTGGGCAGTAAGTGAGGATAAGGTCACGCTTGCTCAGGATAATCAGTCTTTTTACCACAAGATTCTCCCAGCTGGAGTAAAGAATGACGACAGAAGGCAGAAAAGATAATTCAACTGAAAACCTC